TCGCTTTTTGTTCGTTCTGTTTACAAATTTATACATGAAGTTTGGGGAACCCTTGCAGCCCTTATTGGACAGGGATAGGACCTTAATTTCGCCCGGGATGCCGGGAAAACGTGGAATTGCGATACTTTATTATTTGAGATAAGTCGAAATTACGGAAATTTTAATGTCCTTTTTCCTTTCTACTGGAAAAATATGCTAATCACCAACAAGAAAACAAAGGTCGTTCGTGCTTTTCAACCGAAAGGATATAGAAATTTATAGCAAAAAATAACAGATACATTAAAAAAACAAGGTCAACTTATAGAATTACTAGTATGAAGCTTTAATAGGTTATTAAAGAAGTAATCCTTGCCATGTAGTGCTTGTTCCGTTAGATGGAAAATTTTTACAAGATCGAAAATATAACATTTTATACCATTCCATTCCATACAGTTTTCCAATAAACATAGACATCGTTAAATTCATCGTTAAATAGGTATTATAGTACAGTCAATCGGTCTTATTAATGCAATTGAAGCAAACACAATGAGTACATGATAAGCCACTATTACAATTCGAAGAGAAAATATTGAAAATAAAAAAATTCTGATTTTATGCCATTAACATGCCATTAAATTTTTATGACCATTTCCTCAAGAACACTCGATGATTGACTCGTATTAGTTACGTTATTGAGTGTAGGTCATTAGCAACAATTACCGTACAGTTTGCAAATATTCCCACTCGATTACATTGTCCCGTTGTTGCAACGTGGCGGTTATAAGAACGCACAATGATAGTGGCCTTAAAACATTATCCCAGGAAAATTGAAATTTTACTGGCAAAATGTTTAAGTAATTGCGATGATTAAAAAGTAATTTCGAGTCCGCCGAGTGAATCTCGCCCGAAATATTGCATTTTCCAACGCAGCGTTTAGTGTCAATTCCCGTGCTATAAACCCGCTAGAGCATTTCTTCAGGGTGTGTTTTACGAGTTCAATTTTCCAGCTGCGAAACCGTAAAAATTATTACGTACTTATTAGCCAGTGGTAAGCGCCGATAAATCAATAAAAAAAACGACTGATAACGTGCCGCGATAAAAATTGCTAATATCGAATGGAGCTATAATAAAAATTGTCATAAGTTGTCCGCATCGATTTCGCGTTGCGATAAATAAAATTGCGGTGTATACGCGGCCGATTTCAACGAGTTCATGTTGGGTTTTTTATTAATGAAACGCGTACCGTCCTCGATTAAGTTATCCGGTCGGGAGATGAGGTTTAATTGAAATCTAATAACAATAAAATTTTTATTCATCAATGAAATTGACTCATTCATAATCATGCGTAAATTTTTATAAAAGTTTTAAAATTCAGTGGAAGACACACAACATTGAATCCCCCACAAGATCTAAAACTTTCATAATTAATTTTATCCATCTTTATTATCAGAAAAATAAAATATTTCTTTTGAAAACCAATCTAGTTAAATCTTCGGGAAACTCAAGGCGCTCCTTAAAAATCATGCATTCCCAGTTAGCCTTCTGATGCACTAAAACAACTCGATTTTACCGTTTTTACCGAAGTTCAAAAAATTTCAGAAGCTACTTATTAGCCGAGGCGGAGGATATACATTAACTATTTATTCTACCTGAATTCCTCCAGTTACTATTCAGAAGTTACGCTTCGCTGGACAAGTCAGCGTACCTAAAGGAAGAAAGAAACCGGGTTGTTAGCCGGATAAAAAAAACGAAACGAACGCCACAAAATGTATTAGTAGGTATACAAATAAATATAACATCACTGTTTATAAGTGGGTGTAGATCACGCTAGTATCTGGAGAATAGTGAAACGTGGTACCATTGACTAAACAATGATTAATTGGTGCAGTTAAAGTTTCCTTTTTTAGTGCTTTCGAAATGACATACAACAATATCGCATTTAATATTGCAGGTAAATTAAATTGAACAGAGACAGGAAGACAGCAGTCATACCCATATAAAATAAGTACATTGTAATATAAATTTGTTGATGAAATAGTTGTCAACGGTAAAGTAATTGGAAATGTCACCAAAACTTGCGGACGAAGCAGCATGACGAACCATTGTAATCAATCACGATCGAAATATTATTAAATTAATTCGGCAACACTAACTTTAGAGCGCATCTAGGTGAAGCCAAACTCGACCAAAACAGTTATACATCAATTAAACTTCAACTCGGTGGACACAAATTGTACACAAAAACAGACCGAACGGAAATAAGCAAATATTTATTCGTTAAAATCGATAAAATCAGACGTGCGACGCGCCGCTGGGGAACAAAAAACCATTTAAATTGAAGCACATTGTTCCGGGCGTGCACGCCACTGGCCGAAATGCCTTAACGTAATTCAAAACAACGTTAGGAACGCAGAAAGGGGTCAACGAAGGTCTACGTGCTCGTTTTTTATTCCTTTTCCATCGATGGACTATAAACTAGAACTTACATAATGGCAGTCAAATGGACGAGAAACTCGAATAGATGTTACACTATTATATGGTTTCGGATGATAGCAGCTCAAACAGATATTTTAAACATATAACTACAATAGCGAGGTAGAAGATTGGATGGTCTCTTCGTGTTGGGCTATTAAGTTCCAACTTTTAGTCCCAAAACATATTATAAACATCAGTTTTTTCAATAACACCTATTATCTTCTACAACAACAGACAACAGAAAACCTTGATGTAATTAATGATCCAAAATTGGATCAAATCTGAGCTAGGATAAACAAGGCTCAATCACTCCGCGAGCTCGGCTTTGTAAACTTGAACAAAGCATAATTAGCAAATGAAAACTATCCCTATAACTAACTTAAAGTGGAACAAAATAAAGTTGAAAAATCTCCCAAAACTAATTAAGCACATTATATCAGCGCTGCTCCAAAAAACACATTTAACGCCATACTTATACACTTAACAAGATTTAACACTAGGGCAACTCTTGGAGATTTTTCGACTTCAACTAAAAGTTTATCTTTGTTTAACCGAACGCGAGTTTTTTCCTTCATGTTTACTTTAATCCTCTCCGGTTTACGGCACATTTGACACTTCTAATTAAACAAAGTTACTCGCAAAACTTAATTAAAAGTGAGGATAAGCTGCTGTTTTTTTTGCGGCCGAAACCCTAACTATTTTGAATTTAAGTCTCATTATCTGGCGTGTCAGCGCGGATTGGGAGTTATTAGGAGGAATTAAAGTTGTAACAATTCGAAATTAAGCGAATTCTCGAGAGAAGTGGACCGGATTCTGAATACGCATTGTGCAAATTTAATGGATTAAAAACGTTCCCCGGAGAAAGGCTCCGACGTTTTTTTTACTGGTTATTTAATATTCCAAATCTAGATGCTTTAAAGAAATTGCAGCAAGATTAAACTAAGAAATGATTACAGAATATAGAATACACAAAGAAAATGTAGCGAGAAAATGCAAAAATAACAAAAATCCGAACCAAAATATTCTGAAAAATTCGCTGGTTTTATTAGATATCTCAATGATTAATAAAATAACCCAGAACAATTAGATAAGTTACATATCAATCGGTAAATAACGATTGAACGGGGTAAATTAAACGTATAGTGAATTTCGTTAATAAAGGAATAACCATTTTGATTATTTTTTCCGCCCGTCCATTCGGCGCTTCCAATTAAGAGAAAATCGTCAGCGTAAAATTTCGAAATTAAAATGAGAATTCGGTAGGAAAAATTCAATTTCAGGAATGGGACAAATCCGGCACAATTAATTAAATAGGAAATGGGATTTGTTATACAATTACTAGAGATTACTTTAATTGCGTAAGGAATTCGTGAAAGTCTATGGCGAACCGGTAAAGAAATAAGGTATCGGGTAAGTAAATTAATTTGTATAATTTGTATAGGAGTTTCAACAAAATAGCGAAAATGGAAAGAGGTTTCTAAATTTAAAAAAAAATTGCATTTTTCTTGTTTCATGTAGGTAATTATAATGAATTTAAAATAGTGTCGTTAAACCACATGTTGCCATTTTTATTAGTATTAGTTTGAAAGTTACATGTCGTAAACGGAGAATCCTGGAGATACATTTTATTACCGGAATTACTAACATAAAAACCGCGTATTTTATTCATGTTAATCAAAATGCATTTTACTGCCAGTTTGTATAACAAAAATTAAACCTGTGTTTCTGTTATGAAAAATAAATTAATATAGATCGCTCTGATTCCATTTTTTCTATATGCCTCATTTTTTTCTTTAATTTTCTTCTAATTTAATTTCTTTTTATACCTCTAATGATCACTTTCGGGTTACCAGATAACCTTAACCACTCATTTCACAGCATTTTCCTTAAATTGCGAACTCGAATTGCGTTTTAGATACACTTGTGCCTGACGTCTTTTCTACCCTCTGTTACGAGAACCGGAATGGTATTGTATATTTAAGAAGGGGTTTTCAATTAATTTCCCAATGACGATAGCCTCGCTTGTACAGTTTTTTTGTACACGACACCGTAGGCTTTTAATCATAAAAAGAATGAAAGAGACAAAGATGTAAGCGATTCACTCTCGAAGGAAAAAAAAGACGCTTTTTTAGATTACTTTTATTCATGTTATATGATTATTATCCTTTTTACGCGGCGGTTGGCTGTATAAATCTTGGGAGTTTGTGGTAATACTGAGAGTTTAATGAAAAATCCCTACATGAGGTTAAAATTGCACGTCAAAAGAACACAACAATGCTGCCAGATGTTGCGTTTTTCATTGACAATTTTTACAGGACCCTTAGATTTTCTCATTTACTGAAGCCAAATTAGTGGAATTAGGTCACAAAGGATAAATAAATTCATTTAAATTCAAAGCTAACCAATTAAAATTCTAACTCGCAAATAAATCGTGAGGAGGATTATAATAATCCTGTGTAGAATAAAAGTTTTTCAAAATATTTTGTAAAACAGAGAGGGACATATTCGAGATTTCGAGGAAGTATCAAATGTGACTTTTCTAATTTGGCAGTTTATAGACAAAGTAATCATATATTATTCGTAGAACTTATACAGCAATCTATCAGATTAATTCAATAGATATTTAGCATCGTCGAGGCACGCAATGGATGTAGATCCGGTCGATTTCCTCCACCCGTGCCGGTGTTTGAACTCTCAGATGACCAGAAGACAGGAATCCTGTTCCAACACTTGCATCAACCTCACAGCGGTATTAATATCGGTGATAATTTGCCTCTCTGGCATGTACTATTACGAAATCGCCGGTAGAAATTACCTCGAATCGTGGAGCAAGCTCCATTACGACGAACCCGAATACAAAGCGCCGGATCAACGCGACTCCCTCGCCGACTTCAGGAAGGAAATCCAGCACTTGAAAGAAAAGATCGACCAAACGGACGTGTGGCGGGAGCACCTCGAGCAGCTCTACACCAAAATCTACCACTCGCAGGAATCGACGTTCCAGAAAAAACTCAACGAGGCGCTGGACGTGTACGATTCGGACAAAATCGGCTTGTTCGACTACGCCGCTTCGTACGCCAGGGGCTCCGTGCACTCCATACCCGACACCGTCCCCTACCCCATCAACAAAACGCTCACGTTTTTCAATCTCGTCAACATAAACGTCCTGTCCAATCCGGAGAATCTGCTGCGGCCCGGCAACTTGCCCGGCAGCTGCTTCGCGTTCGCCGGGCACAGGGGCCGCGTCCGGCTGAAGCTGGGCAAGAGGATAATGGTGCGCGCGGTGAGCGTCGACCACGTGCGGGTGCACGCGGACAGGAGCAGCGCCCCCAAGGAGTTCGAGGTGTACGGGCTGGAGAACCCGGATAGCGAGGACTCGGGTGCTCTATTGGGAACCTTCCGCTACGACATCGAAGGCCGGCCGGTCCAGACGTTCCCCGTCGACGGGCACACGGGGTACGAGTACGTGGAGCTGCGCGTGCTGTCCAATCACGGCAAAAAGGAGTTTACTTGCGTCTACCGGTTCAGGGTGCACGACGTTTTTATTAAGAATTAGAGGACGATTGTAATAAACGTGTGGGATTTGTTTAAAAATTTTCACTTTGTATACACCTAACCTCAAACGGGATTTGTATTTATCCGTTTAGGGTAGACGCGATACGCTCTCCATTACATCAGGATGAACAACCGCTTCATCTATTATTCACCGAAACCACTAATCTTCGAACACCCGGTCGCCCTTGCGCGATAATAACAGGTGAACATCATTGCTAAATGCTCTAATCTATTTTATTAATGGCGTACCGATAACTCTGATCGAGTCGGAGGTGACCATGCGTCAATGTCACACGAAGGCGCTAGATGGGAGATGATAATGGACAGAAATGGAAAAATGGATAACAAAATTCGGTGGTTTTTTATTATCGCGGATAAGGGCAAATTCGGCCGGGGTTTCGGACGGAAATAATAGGATACGTGTACGTCGATGAAATATAATTTTTTGCGAGTCGCATGTGGATTTTATGTCGGGAGCGGGATTAAACGGTAAAAGATGTCGACAAATGAGATTTTCTGTTTGGATTACCAAAGTTATTTGTATTGTTTTAATAATAATTTTTGTAGATAGTAGTAATCGGTCAATATTATGAATGTGATTGATTTATGAGATGCAAGTATTTGAGTCATTTTAAACAAATTAAAAAATAGTGGAGGAGCTCAACTTTTTACCAAAAAAATATACAGGGTATTCCATAATGACATGCTAAAATTTGGGCCCTTTTTAAGAAAAAAACTTCATAAAAACATATGTTCTAAAACTCCTAAACCTAAAATTTATTATTTTTTAATTTTAGCACAGCGTCGTACAGAAAAAAGTCAAGAAATCAAATTTATTCTAAATTGAATGAGGATTCTAAAAATAATTTTTAGCGTTAAAATAAGTTTTGCGCAAAGGAAAAGGCCATAGTAAAATTATCATAGAAAAAACTACGGGTACATTGATCCGATCGTTCGGAGATCCTTTAAAACTGCAGACGGCGCTTTCGCTACAAGGAAACACACTTCGCCCGGACTCCTGAAACCTTTCAAAGATTTTCGCCGAAGCAGGAAATTGCTATTTTTGTTTTTAACTTTACTAACCTAAAGATTGTTCTCTGTTATTCAATGCTCTAACTGTTCTTTTACTGCCGCGTTTTCCGGTTATTTTGTTTATCCAACAGTTAGCATTTGGAACTGGAAAAGGTGCTGCTTTTAGCTCTCTACGCTACGTATTTTTTGCTCCCATTAAGCAAACTTGAGCTGTTTACGCAAAAAAATGATTAAAGCCGGCTTTGTTTATTTAATTTTTAATAAACGAGCGAACGTTTTTCTGTATTTGTGTACAAATAATAAATATTTAATAAACAAAAATTTAATTGACCACTTACGTTTTTAGTGTAAATTTATTTTACTTAAAAGATACTTTGAAGTACTAAAATATAATGATAAGATGCGTTATAAAAATTTTTTAACTTGCTATTCCTGAATATATTTAATTCCATAACATTAATGAAGAAATGAAAATTACCAAAAATTTAAACTTATACCAACTGTGGAAATTTGTTTATTAAATACATACTGAATATGAAATTAAATACATGAATAGACACAAATTCAACATTTACCTGGTCTTGGTACAGAATATAGACTATAGATTCTTTCTGCTGATGCGCTCGTTAGAGCAAAAATTCATTCAACACGTAAACCGTACCCCGAGTTGCTTTAAAGCGTTTCGTTTTAATTAATATAATTTCGTAGTGTATGCAAAACCTCAAATTAAACTTCGTAATTTTGTATAACATCTCGACGCGGAAATACTTTGCAGAATCTCGAACAATTAAGACAAATTCCGTAAACGTGCGTCTTGTGTTAATTAATTTGTTGGAAAGCGCGGAAAACGATGTATGTATGCATTTTGGCGAAAACCGTTTCCCGGCTAAATAAGTTCTTACTCGCGTCTTCTCCGCGGTGTAATTGGAAATGACGAAAACACCGCGAAATGTGCTTGTAGCAAACATTATTGTACATATATCAACAAGATTTTTTTATCGCTTAAACTCCTATAAACAATGAACGATACGTCTTGCCGTTAAGTGAATGTAAATGGTGAGGAAATAAATTATTGAAGAACCTACCATTATTTAAACGATTGCTTAATAATTATGTAATAAACGGCGTTCTTTATTTCCTCGTTGCATCAAAATGATTCAGGTATACACACATATACATAGTGTAATTACTTAATTAAGGTAAAAAATTTAATTAAATTTGAACGCTCTAATAAATGTAAAATTGTCTAAAAATATCCCATATAAAAGGTCTCTTTGATGATCATAAATGTGAATCTGGGTTTCACTATATTTGTATATTAAATTTACTTTTAATGTAAAGGATCTGTAGAGGGCTCTATTGAGTGTACCTATCTAATATTAAAAATAACCCACCTTTTGATATTCCTGTATGCGATTAAATAAAATGTACCTACCTACGTACCTACATGTTTTCTCTAAGAATGTTCCGCTTACAACTACTCAGTATGTCGTGTATTATGCATGAAACGTACCTGCAACAAAAAATTATAAATTTACAAACAGAAAAGCAACAAAAATTAGAAAATCGCAGAAGATTTTTTTCATTCCAAACAAATGTAATATTAAATATTAGTACGCGAAACGAGCCGTATCAAACAGATATGCGGTGAGGGTCGGGAGCAGAAAATTCTAAAATCGTCTGATACGAGTTCACGCTATTTGTTCTACAAACCGCACTGTCACTGAGCTTTCCTCTAGCTTGTACAAAAGGGTTGTCGGCCCCGCGAACTTCACTTTTGAAGCCCCAACAGCCATTCCTCTATGACAACCCGCTGACTAATGTTACAAGTTGGTCTCCGCGTTCGACTCCCGGAGAACTTCGGGGCGCATTTAAACAAATTCTATCGGTTTCGGTTTTTAGTTATACAATAAACATTTGGTTTTGACATCAGTTTAATTGGATACTTTGCGTTCGGGGAAGTTTTAGCTCCGGCCGGTCGTTGTTTAATTGTCTCGTCGTTTTCAGCGAGCGGGTTCTGATAAAATTGATTGAATCCGGTTAAAAACAATCTTATATGCTCTAAAATTAGATACCCTATGGTCAGGGCCGAAGTTAGGGGTGAGCTAAATCCTCACAAACCAATTATAGTACTTATTAATATTGTTATACTATCATAATAATATCCAATATTTTTAACATTATTGGACAATACTGGTGAGTGTTTGGAACATTTCAATGAGTATTTAGTATTTTTTCTCTTTTTCATATTGTTCCATAAAGTTTTTATCAGTTGCAATAACATTAATCAAACAACCCTATTATTTTTTACAAAAATATAAAAAATCCTTTTAATTGAATATTTTTAGAATTTAATATAGTAAATACATACATCATTGTGAATAATTCCAGATTAAATAATTTTAGTTTCATCAAAAAATGGGAATTGGGTTTAGGAATTGGAGACTCCATTACACGAACTAGCAATTTGCCTATAAAGAATTATTCAAATGCCGGTTTTTTGCCTGTTCCATATAACACGTTCGTTGTTGCTCAGTCGCTGCAGCCGAAGCTCCAGGCCGGGATTTAATAATTTTATGCTAATCCAACTATAAAAAGATACACCACGTTTTCCCGTTTTTTTTATGCCCGCGTGTGCACATACGACGAATAGCGGGAAAAGAAACGAATTTGCATGGGAACAATTAACAAGATATTTTAATATTTTTTGCGGGGATTTGAGGCCGCGCTGGACTCGGTTGGTTCGTTAAAATCGTCAGATATTTTAAGCGGGTTACTTTAGAAAGAAAGTTAATATACAGCAGAAATTTAATTTCAATTAACTGTACATCAACCTTTTATTTTGATATTAACCATTCGCTTTAAGGCAGCAGCTCCACAAATAAAATTGCTACGAGTTGTTACAAAATAATATAACTTCTATAAACGTAAGAGATGAAAATGCTTAATTAAAACTACCTGAAATTAAAAGCACACGAAACAACACAATTTTGCCAGCCGGACTTTACTCAAAAGTTTAAAACTTCAGCGTGATCACATTATGTTTAATTAAATTGCGTTAGGTGAGCGTTGATTAAAAACTGACCAGAACGAAAAATGCTAATTCGAAATTTAAATTTCTATAGAAAAACGAAAGTTTTATCCGCGTTACGTTATAATTACCATTGTTTTACTAGTCGGTTAGTTAACAATAAAACGATATCTCTCATGCATTATTTTACGTTTCTCATGGTAACTGTAAGTATGACGGACTTTTTTTATTTTGTTCCAATGAACCTCCGAGCGAATAAAACAGCGATGAGTCAACGCAGTTCATGCGAAGCGTGAATTTTCTATTAAGTTGGAGTTCGTTATAAACAATTCGCAACTATTAGCGAATCACGTTTAATGAAAATCCTCAAGGATAGGTATTATACAGCATTACTAACTTAACTGTCGTTTCTACAAACGTGTCAAGATTGCATCGTTGCATCAGAATGATTTTATCGAATCGAGTTGATTATGGGAGTGTAATAATGCAGTATAATAATACATTATTTTATCCACATACTTGTTTTTTAATGCAAGTACAGATCGGAAGTGATAGCTAAAGACGTGAGAGCATTATGCGCAATGGAACAAACTAGCGCAGGTCATGTCTACAGTTATTTAAATCAAGTTGTAAGCAAACTTGTTAAATTTACTGCGAACTTAACCAATCCCTGCAAAAGGTCGGAAACGAGCTCAAAATCAAATTTTAATTTCATAGAATTGCCAGTATTAGTGCCGGTTAAACTTGCGTGAGAAAAGTAATTTTATTTGTATTATGATTATCTGTATGCCTCGAAATAATAAAGTAGACCATTATACGTAACTGTCTAGAATTTTAAATGAAGAAACAGAAAGTAGATAACTGGAATATAAACCAATTATAGGTTTATAAATGCGAAATGAAATATTGCAACATAAAGATTTGCAGTATATGTAGACGCTATTTTACGGTACGAAATCGAGCGCGCCCAATATTTTCTTTTCCGGTTT